TTTATAACTTGAAGCTATAGTCTTTATCCTTAACATCGTTCAATGGACAGGTCTCTCAGGTGTTTGGCTTCCTAATCTTTTGTTTGCTTGCTTTGATAGGTAATAGCAGAAGAGAAGTTCAAAGTTTGCAGTGCAGCATACCAATCTTTGTGTGATAAGTTGGCCATAAATTAAGAACGCATCTGACACGCATGCTAGTTCCTTTGTACCAGTATCCAGCTCATGGCAGTTTGTTTGGCCTTTGCCAAATCAGCACAACCTGCTTATTTAAGTTTTCTACTTTTCACTTTTGAGTAGTTCAATATTGAATTGAGGAAATAAGTTTACGCCATGGTAATGGCAACGGAACAAGCCAAATTTTTGACGAAATCGTGTATCCTTAGTTCATTGTAATTTTCATTCTGCTAGGTGCCAGTAAAGGTTAGTAACCTATCGTGGTTTTAATTTCCAGTTCAATCGACCTGTTTATTGTAAATCTGTGCCCCTCGTTTGGGATGCTTGACCAAGAGGCGTTTCTATTTGAACACTCATTATATTTATAGGGAAAATCTCAAAAAAAAAAAAAACTTTTAAAAGACTGATTTGAAGTTTTAAAATTTAAATGTATTTTTTTTAGACTCTGCTGTGTTTATATTTTATTATGCAATAATAATTATGTGTTGTTGTTGTTGTTATTTTCAAAGCTAAAACTACCAAGAACATTTCATTTTTTTTTATTTCTTTTTTTATTACAAAATTTTAGGTAGAGGTTTAGATTCAACCCAAACCAAGGGCAGGGAGGTTTAATGGTTCTTTTTAGGTGATACCAATGTTGGGTGGGGTGAACTTATAATATACTTTGACATGTTAACCTAGCATTGAGTTATTCTAAGATGCCTTTTAAGCGTCGTGATGAGGAATCGAATCCCCTCCTTTTGTTTTGGATGAAAAGATGTGGTTCTTACAGCTGAATTATAGACGATGGATAAGAATATTTTATTTATTGATAAGATTTTTTAAATTATTTTTTGTTTTATTTTTTCTTATTATATTTTAAGCCCGGATAGCTATATTTAACGTGATTACCTTGACTATAAAAGTGTTTGTTTTAACTTAAAAACATATTTTCATATAAGTCAAAATAAAAAAAATTTCACATGCTCATTTCATGTATTGTAAAATTAATTTTAATTTATGATTTAGTTTTTATCTAAATATTTTTTACAATTGAAATGGTGTAAAGAGAAGATCGCTGTAACTAATTAATTCATTTAAGTTTTTTTTATGCAGATATTTAGAAATAAGTGGCAATTCTACTTAATTCAAATCTTTAGCTCCTAATTTTTGGTAAAATAGCTCTTAGCTCCTAATTAGGGATTTTTTGTCTTACTCTCGTGTCCCTGTTGAGATTTTTTTTTTTTGCGGTGAATCTTGTTGAGATTTTATTTGTGGGTTTTCTTCGTTGACTTTTTTTAGATGTGGGATTCAATTCATTTAAGGTGAAAATAAATTGTGCACTCTAAACAATGAATAAAGTTTAAAAATTAGAATATTAATTATTCAGGCCAAAAAAATGAAAATATTAATTCGGCCTAAAATGGGTTTCTTTTTTAGATTTAAAAGCCGCTTCGTATTTGTAAATTTTTATGATGATACTTCTAACCTTTAAGGCAACTGATGCCTCAGCATTCCTTTGTTGACTGGGACTGGGAGATGGTGCAGCGAGGTGTCGAATATAACTTGATCTTCCCGAAGGATGATACTTGATGCCATATCTCCAGTGGCGGCGGCTACGCGTCTAAATATACGGTGCTGATTTCTATTTTTGTTCGCGTTTGTCCTGTTGTTTTAAAATCATCTCCCTTCCTTCGTTGGTACTGACCTGTTTCCGTTTTGGCCGCAGCTTTATCCTCTTGTAATCAACGCTGCGTTTGTTGTTCTGTTTCAACCTGAAACCCCTTTCGATTCCTTCAATTCCAAAGAGCCTTCCTTGACTTGAGAAGTACACTCCCGAATCACCGATATCCTTCCCTTTTCTGTTTCCTTTGACTTCCTGCCTTCTCCATAGTATTGTGATGAAAATTCCATGCTGATCTGCATTCCTCATTCTCTCCGTCTAAGTATTCCCTCTTCTGTGTCCCAACATCCTACGATCAATGGAGACTTCAGATTCGTACCACCCCCGGAGCTCTCTAAATGGGGATTTTGGGTTTGGTGCCAGTGATCGGAGATTCGCGTTCTCCCGCCAAGCTTCGCTCAAACAATCGCAAGAACCTCACTCACCTGTTTCATTCCCTTTGAACAATTCCGGAAGGCCTTTCCTTTCCCGGACTGACTCCAGCATAGACATTCCTCGGGGCCATTATTGGTCAGGCCAAGGTCACTACTTTTCTGAGGAAAAGTCCCCGGAGAAAGTCTCTTGGTCCTCGTTTATTTTCTCTGCTTTTCGAAACATTAGGTCTGGGCATAGATATATGAAGAGATTATTTTTTATGATTTCCCTGAATGTAGCATACTCCACCGCAGAGCTATTCATTGGCCTTTTTACTGGGCGTGTAGGTAAGGCCATTATTGTCTCATAATGGGTTAATAATTGCTTTGTACAACTATGCACCTTTCCGTTAAATGTTCGTCAAAATGTGTGCAAATGATACTCCTTGCTGGGCTGCTATTCTGCTATTTAAGTATCATACAAGGCTTTTGATGCTTTGAGACTGTGCTTCTCATTCTTGATAGCCTCAACAGAAGTATGAATTTTATACTTTATAATTTGGTAATATTAAGAGTTTGACTTCAATTGCGGATTTTACACTTTTAATTTCTCAAATCTTTCGCAAGTAATTCATAGACATGATTTGTTGCTTTAACAGCTTTTCCAATATCCCCTTTTCTTCCTCCATAGTGAGCAAAATGATATGTATTCTACATAAAACCATTCCCGTGGCCCCAGTTTGAAAGTCGAATCTCAGATGACTTCTGTTTCCGCTTTTTATACGTCTGCTTTCAGGTTTGGTGTCTGATGCATTTCATTTGACTTTTGGATGCGGTCTTCTGACATTTTCACTATTTGTTATGGCCGCCTCAAGGAAGAAGGCTGATGGAGATTATACATATGGGTAAGTCTGCTGTTTGACAATCCTCGGAATGTGCAGTATTTGTGGTTCGGGTACTCAGCTATGTCGGTTTCCTAGCCTTATCAAATATTTTCATGTAGGATAGATCATATCTTTTGGAGTAGTTATAATATAATATCCTCATGAGGGTAAATTATACTGATATTTTTCTTGTTTAAAAAAATGTTTTATGTCTCCCTTAACCTTTGATATATATTACGGAGATGTTCCTTCCAATTTTTCTTTGAATAGGACTAACTTACTGCACAATATGCCATCTCTCCAAAGATAAATTTGATTATTTTTCTGTCATATAAAGGATTTAGCCGAAGACTTTAGTTGGATCTTAATATCGACTTAGTTGCTTTTGCTGTCATATTAAGAAATCAGAGTCTCATGTCATGACAAAAGTAAGTTGTAGTAGAGGTTTTGTAATATATGTTAAATACTGATGATCTTCCGAAAAAGGGGTATTAGGTGTAATTTAGCCAGATTTTCTTGTTATTACATCTGATCTGATGTATTGAAAAATTATTTAATGAATGAAATAGTTAAGCTGCATGTTGTGTACAGTCCCAATAAATAGGAATCGACTTATGCTTACCAAAAAAATGAGAGGAAAAAAAGGAGCTACTGCTCAGCTTTTGGTGTCAACAGCCAAGCAGTGGAATATGGTAGGCATTGAAAGTTTGAAACTGCTTTGGCCAAGTTAATGTGATTCTAAGGAATTAAGATATGTTCACACTTGGTATAATTTAAGTGGAAGGATACGATTATATCCATCAGCATCTATGTTGTTGTGTTACTTTTGTAGTTGTTTACTTTGAAAAGGTGGTTTCTTCTGATATTTCCATTAAAGAATGTATAAAATTTATTTGCTGATATGTATGATGAATTCTATTTTTTGTAAATATTTTTCACAATTTGGCCTGTGCCCTGTTGTGAGTTCTTACGTCCTCCTCATTAGTGCCACCTCTGGAAAAGCAATTGTATAGGATACGCATGAACATGTCCATATATACTGTGCGTATTCTCCTTGAATCAAACTTTAAGAGCTAGCTCTTACACTTTGAAATTCTCTAAACATGAAAAGGATGAGTATTTATATTGAGTGGGTTTCCTTTGTATTCAGTTGAATTGATTAATCAGAATGCTAATCAAGATGAAAGGTGGATATAAAACAAATTCTGCGGGAAATTCGTATTCTTGCTTGTGACACAAAATGATATGAGTTTGTGTTTGTCTCAATTACTTGGATAGCCGATGCTCACATGCCAGAACTTGTCCCATGTGTAGATGACAGATTCATGGATTTCCGATTACTGCTGTCTGTCAGTATTTCTGAGTTACTCACTATCCTCTAATTTCAGGTATAAAAGGCTTGAAGTTTTGTCTGCATTTACAAATACTGTAAGTATTCGAAGTATCCTTTACAACTAGAGTTTTCAACCCTGCATCAAAGTAATCAAGGTACAGAATGATGCTTCTGTAAAACTCATGGGGGTTAATGCAAAGTAATAGTATGCACATTTCAGATGCTAAAAGAGGATTTTTACTGGAATCCCCCCCCCCCAAATGAGTTGTAAAAAGTACAAAATTTGCATATTTGCTATGTGGATGCTTTCCACCTTAATCTTGGACTCTTGGTTAGTCTTGCTGAGGGTGTTGTTTTGCGGTTGAAATTCTAGTGGTGTTGTTGACGTGTTTGATTAGGTTTGGGTAATTTAATATTCTCAGTCATCAGATGAACTGATGAACCGGAAAATTTAGTTTGAAATTTTGTTTTTGCCTTACGTAAATCAATTATGAAGGTCAAAAGCATTACTTGCACTTCCCATTCCCTCTGTTGATTTGCGCTAACATGTTGAACCTTCTCATTTTGTCTGCTGCATGTGTAGACAGCTGTTTTCTTCTGTTTATGTCATTTTCTCTAGCGGTTGAAGCACTTCACGCATTCATACAAGATGAATCGGAGCACAAGTAAGTTTGTGTTACCAATGACTGTCGCATTTTTTGTATCACATTTTATATAGAGATTCAGCATGGAGAAGAATTTGTATTTTTGCAAGTAATAATATCCTCAGTTTTTTTTATTGATGGTTGAGTTCTATTTCATGCATATTAGGAACTCAAGATACTTGTTATAGCTGTTAAGTGTTAGCATTTTCATTCCTCTGGATGTCTGAAAATTTGATCATGCTTAACTGTAAAAATGTGTTTTTCGTTTGGAAAATAATGCATGGCTCTAGACTGAAAGACTTTTTTAGCCATGATTTGCGATCTATTGTGCTCATGCTTCATAAACCTGTCGGTAATTAGTTGACTTATGCTACATACTTTGTTCTATACGTGTGTTTTACTTGTGATCTTTTCAAACGTAATATGTTTAAGACATGCTTAATTGTATTGTCTGCAAGAAAATGGAGAGAAAACCCATCCGTGTGAAACCATTAAACCATTACGGGATCTTTTGCCTGAGTGCTAATGTATTCAATTTTTATACCCAAATAATTGCAAATTTGTTTCTCTGGTAGGAATTTATGGTTCTTAGATTTTATTATTTTCTTCAATATCTGCTGATGCTGATAATGATCTGCTTGTAGGCATTATTTGATTGTTTCAGCTGTGACCAATTTAGTTGTGAATCTCATTGGCGTATGGTTCTTCAGGAATTATGCCCGGATTAATCTTAGTGAGTATCTCCTGGACCCTCTATTCTTCTATTCTACTGTCTACCAGCCTTGAATGATGTTTCTCTATTTCAATGGGATGGCATATATTGATGGGTGATTGAGGCTTGAGTCATCTGTTTCTCTTGGAATTTTGCTTGCAGCTTATAGAAATGCTGAAGATATGAATCATCATTCAGTTTTCCTGCATGTTCTAGCAGATTCTATTCGCAGGTGGATACGCTAGGTCTCTATATGGACATCACTGTGTATTTGAATTTCATTCCTTTAGTTCGTGCATTATTATTAACATACTATGGTGATTTCTCAGTGCAGGTTTGATATTGGCATCCTGGTTACTGTCCATTGGGTAAGCACCTTGTTTTTCAGACCCAGATTATTTTGCAATGAAGTGTGTGTGTGTGAGAGAGAGAGAAACACACACACACACCGAGAGAGAGAGAGAGACCGGGGGGGTCAGGGCTCAATTGTTTTTTCTTCTGATTTCTCTAGATTCTGTAATTTCTTTACCATTCTCTATAGGGTGCAGAATGCAGAAGTCTTGTGTTTGGGACTAGTTTCAGCTGCGGTTTTTACGCTAGTCCTGCCACTCTTTAGGACAACCGGTGGTATCTTGCTTCAAACGGCACCTCCTAGTATTCCAACTTCTGCTATGAGCAAATGTTTGAGACAGGTTATTACCCTAGTTTCTATAAGATAAAGTATGCTACGAGACTGATTTTAGCTCCCCCCCCCCCCCCGGGCCCGGGGGGTGGGGTTGCTTAAATGTAAGCAGGTTCTTTCTGTTTTAACAATTCCAACTTCTTGTGGAAAGGGTGAAAAGCTATATTTTGCTCTCCGTAATTTATGATCTTTAAATTTAGTTTTCATTTGACTATACCTATTGGCGCTTTAATGCTTCGTGTGTGCGCGCGCCCTCATATTAAATGCTTCACTTTTTTTAATATCTTTAATTTTCTTTAGATAACTGCTCGGGAAGATGTGCTGGAAGTTTCACAAGCTCGTTTTTGGGAGTTAGTTCCTGGTCATGTGGTTGGTTCGCTCTTGATTCAGGTAATTCCCCCATTAACTAAAAATAGGACTAAGCTAGTGCTTAATTTGATGTTAAAAACCAAACTATATCTGACGTGAATCCAAACACGCACTAAAGCAAGTTAACGACGTATGTGGATGCACATGCTCAATTTCATGCTTTCGAGTTTCTGTTGCTGAAGTCTCACTCTAGTTATGGTTGGCGCAGGTGAAGAAAGGGGCGGATGATCGCCCGTTACTAGGACTTGTGCATGGCCTCTACCATGAACTGGGCGTGCAGGACCTTACGGTGCAGACTGATGATACATGAGCGTCTCATATTCATGGATTTCTGCAAATGATTACAGACCATGGATTGCTTTTATTTATTTATTGTCCTCGCTCTGCTGGTCAAAGAACAATGACTTTATTTCTCATAGAAAAGGGATGAGTGAATTTTAGAAAAGTATTACGCTGTCACAGGCAATATCCATTTCCTTCCCCTCCACAGTTAAAAAAAAAAGGAGCCAGGCATGAAAACTAGGGCCTATGCTGAATAACAATGTTAATGATCACGGATACTTGTCAACTACCAATTTACCATAGATCTGATCTGTTCATGTTAAAAGTGGATGGCGTGCTATCTTATTTTTCACATTTTTTAAATACTTCTATTCTAGTAAATATTAAGTATTACTCGTATCATTTTTTAACATGACTTTAATAAATATATATTAGCATGAGTCGCCGATTGCCATTGTTCGTGGAAGGTCTTCGGCAATGGCTTCTCAAATCTTACTCCCACTGAGAATTTGGAGCTTTACTCTCCCTTTGTCCGTCACACGCACCCTCCCTTTGTTAAGGGGTCTGAAGTCAGCTGTAAGGTGTCCTTGTAAAGAAATTTTTTTATGCCGTAGTAAAGAACTATTTTTATGATTTAATGATCACGCAGTTATAATATCAATATAAAAATGACTCATTTTTCCTATTCTTCTAACCCTTCCAATTTCCAATGGTACATTATTATGACCGTTTGAACGTAGCTTTTTATTTTCTAGCACCATTCATTGTTCAGATCAATATATGGTTATCTGCCTTCATTTTCCAATGTTCTTTTTCCTCCATCGCTCGACTCGCTCCAGTCTTGAGTTTCTTTCCTTGCGTGCAACCATGTAATTATATTATTAGTGTACGTAATCTAATCATGATTTATTTCCAAACATGAAAGTCAAACGATCGTACGCAAAAAAAACTTTCTTTTCCAAAATTAAATTAGCATCCGATAATTCTCAAAATTCTGATAACCTGGGGGTCAGCGAAACGCGTGATGTGCTTGTAATCATGTGTTGTATATAGAAGTCAACTGGATTTTGATGGTACTGGTTTTTGTTAATCTCATATGACAACTCATGTATAATCATCTAGAAATCGACTTTAGGTAAGAAAAAAGCGAGGCGCAGCCATTGAAACGGGAGAGGGCGTACAGATTAGATGATAACGAAGATAATAAATTATTAAATTTGAATCTGACAGAGAATATTTGAGTACAATCAATTATATGCAGAAGTTGACTACGCCTTTAAGCAGTTAAGCTGACCTAACCGTTCCGCCCGAAGAAAAACAATTTACACAGAGTGAAGAAGAAATTTGTGTCAAGCACCTATCAATGTTGTTTGGTGGTTATTTAATTACAGTGATACGATATCTGCCAAGGTACGAGAACAAGAACCATTGCAGGGTAATTACGATGATGATGATCATCTGCCGGTGAGCTGAGTGAAGGGAGGAGTGAGTTGGGCCGAATTAATGGAGTTATCATTGACGTTGAAGGAAGGGGGAGCGGCCGGCCACACAAAAGCCGGCCGTTCCCTCGGGACCTCCGGCGGAGCCACCTCGCCTGTCAGGACCTGCAGTACTGTCTTCATGGATGGCCTTTTGTGAGGATTGGGATGGCAACAAGCCAGGCCTAGCACTATCACTCTTTCCACTCGTTCCTCGTCTTCCTCTATCTCCTTCTTTATTCTCCTATCCACTCCGTCTAGTGTTCTTCCATTCCCATACATCTCCCACACCCAGTACACTATGCTATTCTTGTAGTCGTTCTGAACACACATGTTCCCTGGCCTCTTCCCACAGACTACTTCCATTATCAGAACCCCAAATGCGTACACGTCTGTTTCCACTGTTGCCCTCCCTGTCAGAAACGTCTCTGGGGCCATGTAACCTGGTGTTCCTGCTATTTCTTTCGTGGAATGGTGAGTCTCATTTCTTTTTTGGATGGTTCGAGCCAATCCAAAGTCTCCCAGCTTGGCGTTGAAGTCTGAGTCCAACATGATATTGCTGGCCTTGATGTCCCTGTGAATCACCTTCTTGTCGCAGCCGTTGTGAAGATAGTCAAGGGCTTCAGCCACACCGTATATCGCACTGCATCTGGTTTCCCAGTGAAGGTTTTGATATGGTGATCCGTCTGTGCTGCCGAATAGGTATTTGTCTAAGCTTCCATTGGGCATGAACTCGTAGACGAGTAGGAGTTCTTTTCTCTCATAGCACCACCCTGTGAGTTTAACCAGATTCTTGTGGTGAAGGCTGCCTATTGTCGTGACTTCTGCTATGAATTCTTGCTTCCCTTGGCGTGAATCCTTGGAGACTCTCTTCACGGCGATCTCCCTGTTTCCCAGGATTCCCTTGTACACTTTTCCGAAACCACCTTCCCCCAGCTTGTTCTGGTCGTTGAAATTGCTCGTCGCCTTTTTTATTTCCCTCAGCCGGAACTTCTTTGGAACCATTGAGGAATACTTAATCTGGTCTTCTATCCTCGGATACGCATCCTCTGCTATCTCCCTATTTCGTTTCCACCGCCATATCAAGAAAAGTATCACCGCACCGGCGATAACCACCACCACTGGAACTGTGATCCAAACCCATAGCAGTTCTTGATTTCCGTCTCCAATATCTTCACCGTTGAACTCCCACGCTCTGATGCAGTTCAGCTCATTGAAATTACTTGTCGACGCAGAGAACCCCAGAAATACCTTCTCCGGGAGATATGAGGTGAGATTGAGGGGTGGAGATTGCAACAAGAGCTTCATGTCTTGTGCTTTGGTTCCATTCATCATGTAACCGAAGACAGAAATCACATCGTTATCATACTGAATTCTCACGGCCACATTGGTGCCCGATGAAATATTGATCCCCAAGGGAAGTAACGGAACGTGCTTGATGGAGTAAACACTGTTCACGTTGACGCCAACATGACCGTCTGAGCCGTCTTCAGGGGAGTTGCTTCTGGTATCAAACTCCACAGCCAATACGGCTGCACCAGAAGTGCCATTTGTGGAAGAATTCACAACGCCAAGCCATCTTCCATGGCTGTTGGGGGGGAGACTTTTGTCAGCAGCTAGTATGAAGGCCAAACCTTCGCCGGCACCTGGGTTTGAAGGAGTATCGGGGCTGATATTGAGGACGAAGGTGGTATTGAATGATGCAGTTTGGTTCTTCTTCTTGTTCCAAACTCTGTACGCCTTATAGTAGAAGGCCCTCCCGGACCTGTTCCTCAAGTCTTCACCGTAAGCATCAGGTGTCACTTGGATGGCATCTCGGAATATACGCGAAAACTCACTCAGTAGTATTAATCCATTCTGATCTTCTTGTTTGAAGGTGGGGAAATTGAAAGAAAAGCAGTCAACTTGGATATGGCCGAGGATACTGATGAAGATGACTGCTAAAAGTTGAGGCTTAACCATCCGACAAAACTGCATTCTACAGCTCATTAAACGGACAATATAGCCGTATGCTTTTTGAAGGATTTGCTATAGCAACACAGAAGGTGAGCTATATATGATCCTGTGAGTTACCAGACTGATTGGATGAATGGCAGCGTCGTCTGAGGATTATCGATCAGAGATTGGAGGGCAAGTCTAAAATGGTAATGATGATGGTCAAGCATGCTTAGCCTGTTCCGTTATGCATTATATGTATTTATATATTTTATATACAGCAATCAAAACAGACTTGATTCATCAATGGGAAGTTTCCTTGCTCTTGATGAGCCTTCTTATTTTCTATATGTTATTCAGAGGTGGAATATATTTTAGAGCTAGAGACTCGGTCATAATGCTAGAATGTTTACTACTCTTCTATATCATGCCCAACCAGCAAGTTAATTATTTAAGTCATAAACTAATTATTTAATTAATACCTCCAATAAAGAAGATAAACTAATCTTTAAGTCATAAACTAATTATTTAATTAATACCTCCAATAAAGAAGATAAACTAATCTTTAAGTCATAAATTATTTCCTACCGCACTCGTGGCCGCGTCACGTATATACATCTCTTTGAAGGGCAAGAAGATTGGGAGTTTTTTTTTTTTTTGGGGCCTTAGAAGGCTGGGAGTTCGACTTATGAAACTTCGTCAGAATCTTTAGTGATATGATATTCAAATATGGTTGCCCTCCATCGCCCCGTTCAAAGTCAATATAGAATTATTAAGTAGCGAGGAAATGATGAATGACAAATACATATATTAATCCGTAGTCTAGCGTGCTAGGGCCCGAAATGAGGTTAGCACACGCCAACAAAATAAGTGTTTTTTCTGCGAAACATCGGTTGATGATTGATAAGAAGTCAAAAACTCACAAATCAGAACCAATCCGGCCGCCTTGTTATCTCATTTTTATTTGATGCATTCTAAAATTGATTATGAATTGTATAAGTGAGCATATTAGCCGTAACTAATGCCAAGAGTCAAATCACACAGTAGGGCGCTGGTAGAGAAAATTAACAATATGTCTATCAACTATGGAACCACGTTCAATACTCATCATAGTGATAGTTATCATAATACTTATCAAATTTTAACCATTCAAATTTAATATAGACAGTCAAAATTTAATATTTAACATTTCTGTGTTTTTAAAATATTTTCCTCTTAATAGGTACATAATCCAAAATAAAAACTATCATACATAGCCTTGTTATTGAGAGATATTTGTCTTTAATTAAAATGAGGATTAGACCCCTCGTCCGTGGGTTCAACTGACGAAGGGGTCGGACTCTCTTACCAAAGGGAGGAGGTTCGATCCTAGGGAGTGCCACTTTGTTATGGCTCCAGTCACAGCTCTGGAGGAGGCATCACCACAGCATAGTGAAGCTAGAAGATTCCTACCTATTAGGCCAAAAAAAAGGGGTTTGCTTGTCATGTTCTCATGCCCATAGGGATAGGTCCCAGTGGATCAAACGTTAAGTACCCTGTCCTTAGATTATGGGTGAGCCCAACCCCTTTCCTAAAATTTTTTGTATAAAAAAAAAAAGAGGATTAGAAGCTTGATCCGACAAATGGAAAACAAATTATATTTAGGAACTTTTGCAATGAATAGATTAAATCGTTTTGAAAAAGAAATTAATGATTGTACGTATTTATTAACATTTTTTAAAATTATTCATAAAAATTATTGATTAGAATTATTCAGAACTATACTTTTGTTATTGAGATATATACTAGCTATTGTAAATCGTAAAATATTAGTTAAAATTTCAATTATTAGATATATTAATTCGGATGTTTGTTATTTACGTCTTAAAGTATGGTTTTCTCAAAAGTAATCATGACGATCCAAAGTTAAGAAGTAGAAATTTTAATAATAACGTCAGCTATCTCATGGAATGGATAAAATAATA